TTCCAGGCCAGTTGTCAACAGCAAATAAAAGTCTTTTGTTCTATCCTTCTTGTTTTAAAACAAGCTGCTTTTCAAGGTTCAATTCTCAACTTAACCTCAGAGTTCTGAACCAAAAATGTAAATAAATAATAAAAAAAAAATGAACAGATGGTCTTGACACTATACATGCTGGAGTGATTAGGAGCCAATGTTTCTTAATTGCCAGATCTGCCAAAATGCCAATCAGTCATTTTTGGAGGCTTGGAAAACAATCTGAGAATGACAATGGCATGCTGCCTTCTCACAAGCTTGGGTATCAAGTAGGAGCCATATCCTAAGAATGCTTATGTCCACGATGCGGTATAGATTTTGCCCTGGTACAGCAAGTAAAATATATTAGGATAGGCACATGGATAGGAAAGATTTCAGCAGACATTGGCTAAATGCAGGCAAATGGGACTGGTTCAGTTTCGGAAACCTGGTTGGCATGGACGAGTTAGGCCAAAGGGCCTGTTTCCATGCTGTGTAACACTTAAGCATCTGCTGTAGCTGACACTAGGCTGTAACCTCTTGTAGGCATGCTGCAAAACTTCTAATCGGATAGTGCTGCAGAGTGGCTGTGAGAACACTCCTCGAGAACGTTTCAAGCAGTGTCACTTCCATTCAACAACCCTCAAACAGGAGGACAGATATTCGACTGTGCCATAATTTGTCTTTCTGAACTTTTATTCATGTCCTTTAATTGTTCCCTTTTCTTTAAACTAGATTTTTAAAAGAATTTTCCTCTCATACCAGTGACATAATTTCTTGACCCATCTGAACATGCACCAGAAGACAAGTATTCATGCAAATAGATTTAGACTAGAGCATGGAGTGTCATTTGCATTTGTAGTTCAGCAGTCTTCAGGCAGAACTAACTAAATTAGAACAAACTTACAGCTGAAGGTCAAAACTGGTTCCATTTCATTTGATACTTGTATTGCAAAATTATGGAAATATTCTTTATCTACAGCTTTGTGTTGTACACATGCTCACAGAAAATATTTTTCCTTTTTTTCATTTCATTTGAATTCTTCGAAAATGTGTGTCAGCTGTGGCTCAGTTGGTGGCTGTCTTGCCTTTTTTGACACAAGATATTGGGTTCGAGTACAAAAATCAAGCTTGATGCGATTATGTGATACTGAAGTGTTGCTTTATTTTCAGAGGTCTTTTGGGTGAGATGTAAAAGAGGATGCTATTTCAAAAGAAGAACAGGGGAGTTATTCCTGGAATTCTGGCCAATATTTATCTTTCAATCAACATGGCAAAACCAGATTATTTGGCCATTATCATTTTGCTATATGTGAGTTTGCTGTGCGCAAAACTGATGTTATGGTCCCTGTAATAAAGCAGAGACTACAATTAAATAGCTGTAAAGTACTTTGAAGCATCTGGTGCTCGTGAAAATCTATATGACGTAAATCTTTCTCTTTTCTTTGCAAAATACCCACACCTCACAAATCATGTGGAATTTATTACACTGTACCCTTTGGTGTGCATTGGTACTAAGTGAAATCCATTGTGCTCACATGAACACAGTGAACTGTTGGGGAATCAGATTCAATTGGCAGATATTCCTGAAATTTGGCCAGTTTAGCATGCACTCAGAACCTAGTATCCAGAATTGCTAAGACAACAGAAGCAACATGCTTTCAAGAATGGAATGGTAGCCTTGCCAAGGAATTAATTGCAATAGGAAAAGAAAGATTGAAAATAATAATATTTGAAGAAACATTCTTGTTAATTATTTTTATAGCAATCTGGCAGCTGAGAAAAGGACATGTCTAAGCTTTTGTCTTTTGTGAACCAGTTGAAAAGAGATTGCTAGTTTGTGATTTAGTTCTGAATTTCTTGGTGGTTAGATTGTGTCTATGCAGGATGTAAGTCTTTTGGAAGTGACTCTGGATTGCATTCTAACATTTGAGTTCCCTGTGTCACCTCTCTAACTGGCACATGTTTTGCCAGTTTTTTATTCACATACATTTAATGGATAGGATTGCTAATTATCACAGGAAGGGTACATAGTCTTGCAGGAAACAGCAGCAATTGTATTATACCAACTGCTGCAGAACTGAATTTTCTCCTTTTTGGTTAGGCCCAACAGACTCGGATCAGCAAAGATTATGGGTTAGGTTTTCACCAAGCCAGGTTGACCTGGAAGCTCTGTATAAATGGCAGCTGGGACTGGATTTCAGAATTTCTGACTCTATTCCTAGGCTCCCTCATTTGCCCCTCAGGGTCTTTTTTGAGGATGCAGGTTTGTTTGGATCTGAGCCTGCTCTGGCTTACTAGAATGGGCCTTTTAAACAGCCCATCCCCTCAGCGGACACCCATATCACTACCTCCAGACTTTTGTTTGGGTCAGCTAGCTTGCCTTTACATGGCACCACCCATCAGCAATGAATATCCTCCTTCTGGGACTGCTATTTCCTGACTGGGTTGCACAAAGCTGGCAACTAGTTCTGAGAATTTACTTTTCCCCATTGTTTCTGTTATCTGGTAGCTGAGGTTTAATTTTTCTTATTACACTTTGACCTGGAAGCCACCAGTGTATACAGAGGGGAGATACACCCAAGGTAATTTGTGAAGTGAGGGTACAGTTCAAGTATATCTTGGAAACTTCTTTGCTTGTGACTAGGTCTTGATGTCAGTGAGCAGAACTGTAACTCCCAATGTGGGGACAAGAGGTCAAATCCCCAAAATGTGGCATCAGGTCAGAAATGCACTTCATTTCATCCACTTTCAAGTTGAGCCAGAGCAGATTTGTTGATGAGAAAGGAAAACCCTGTGGAACTTTGACTGTGAGGCATAAATGTAAGACAACAATAAGATGAGGGTCAGCGTGAATATTAGTTGAGAATACAAGGGTGCCTTGAGATAGAGAGAAATGAGTGGAGTAGCAAAGAATGCCAGCAGAACGGTAGGGAATTCCAAATATTGGCCAGGCCTGAAAGTAGGGTGCCAACCTTCCCTGCTCTCATAAGGTCATTGAGTCTCTTGTAGCGCTATTTCCACATTAAAGGAACCACACTTCTACTACTAACTTTCCTCAGCAACTTCCATCTACACACGCTTTCTTTGAGAGGCTGGCCTCTTCTATTTGTAGAAAATAGCATTTCACTTCAGATTCTCAGATCCAATAGCAGGACTCCAGGGAAGAGCCAGAGAATCAAAGAATAGCCTTCCCATATCTACCTAACAGGCCTGAGGTAGCTGAAGCAAAATACAGATAAGCGACTCTGACCCTGTTGAGAGTTGCTTTAATTAGAAATCTTCCCTTTGACAGATGTGAGTCGTCTTCCTTCTGTGATTGATCCGGAAACTGGGAAGCAGAATGCTAATGTCATGGCTGAATTAAAGAGTCACAGTGAAGCTCACCTCTCTGCCAAACAGGTTTCTGACCAGCTGCCTCAATCTCCCCTACTCATACAAGAGCATCTGTTATTTTTAAAAATCTGCTCAATGTATAATGGAAGTGGTGGAAAAAGTCACATTGAATCAGGTGGCCTTGACATCCCCACCAACCTAAGGTATTCAAGCAAAGTTCAGACTTCAGCCAAGGTGCTTTCATTCCTTTGCCTGCTTCAAATTAAAATCAGGAAGGTGAAACCATTTAGAAAATATTTTTTTTGAAAACCTAAGATCAGTTCACATTTATATATTTAAAACAAATATCTAATTTGCATGATATTTTCCAAAATGTAAACTTTTTCTGGAGAAAAAAATTCCTAAAATATGTAGGCAACTGTAACTGATTCATAGAATTCTTTCCTTTCCAGATGCCCAGCAACATAGGCAAATATCTAGTCTAGGGACACATGTCTAACTGTTCATTTCAGTTTGAGAGGAAGCATCCAGCCATACAATCATACTGGATAATCACTAAATTGTCTAGAGGTGATATGGTTAGATTGACATGCTGCAATTTATGCAGGAATGCCCCTGGTGCACTCTATCCTGAGATGTGTTGGAGACTCTATTAATAATCCTGGCCGGTTTTTGTTCATTACAATGTAGTATCCATATGCTTAGCTGAATGTGCTAACCTGTGAATGTCACTGTAACCTTGCCTAGTAACCTTTGTATTGGAATTCCAATACGGGCTATACCTGTGACTAAATTGCCCCATGCCCAAGTCAATATTTACCAATACTTGGAAAAGTGTGTTGGAACAAATGAAATTTTCAATCCAACAATCTTGTGATTTTTGTTTTAGTTTCATTTACTTCCCTAACACTTCCTAATCTGGTTTCATTAGAATATTCAGTCACTTAGCTCTTTATATAAAAAAAAAACAACGTGCAGAATGCTAAAAAACATCCACTGGCATTGAAAGTTTAATGTTGTGACCACCCAATGAATAAGTACACTGTGCATGCCATGAAATTGGACTCTGGTTACTGACCAGTATTTATGGTGTTTGTAGGTAAGGTTCTTTTAGAAATTAATCATTAGTACTTGAAGCAATAAAGATTTCTTTTCACACATCTCTTTGAAAATAGGAAACAAAATGTCAAGAAGCTACTCAAGCATTTGAAAAGAAAATTAATTGAATATTTAAGAAGAATATTAAAAGGTTAAAGTGAAAGGGAAGCTTGACAATAAACAGTTTGCATGTAGAGCTAGCAAGAGAAGTTTACCTGTAATGAGTTTATGAAAATCCTATGTGTATTATTTTGTTGCTAATGTTCATCCATTTATTTTAAGTGGGTTAAGACTTCTATTGAAACAGCAGACATAGAAACTTTAAAAGAATTCAGTATACTAACATTTGAACAGTTAAATGGTAAGGCAGCTGTGCTGCTAGGTCAGACAGATTTAGAAGCATCTCATGCTTGATCCTTGCTAAATTCATTCATTTTAAATGCAAATACTATAGGTCACCTCAATATCACTGTGACAGAGAGAGAGAGAGAGAGAACCTCTTCTGATTATGTCCACTCATACATCCCGCAAAATACATGTGTGAATGTTAGAATTAGCTTTGGCCATGAGGCTCCTATTCACACTATCAAATATCCAGGTGCTCACATTTGAAGTATGGCCACTTGTTGAGTTATTGAAAGGTTGCCAGTCCCTGTAGAAATATAATTCAACATGTGTCACCACCATCAGCACAATAAGGGGAAAAATTACATTAACCATTTTATCATATTGTTCATTTGCATCTGTCTCTATCATTAATATGGTAGATAATATTGTGGAAAGAAATGCTTGAGTACGCATTGGTTCTCGTGATATTTATTGATATGTATACTTCAACTTGTTTCTGTATGATTGGAATTTTCTTTTAATTCCATTGCAATCTAATGCAGGAATCTGTGATAACTTACTAAGTATTTTTAATTTTACCTCTCTTAGATGAGAAATGTTAATGGATAAACAGATGTGTATTGTTTGGAATTTGACTTTTTATTGCTTAGGTTTTGCCTTTATAATAAAGGAAAAGACTGAAGGCTACTGCGGCCAGGCTGTCTTTTTCAAAGAACAATGTAGCTTGTTGGGATTTTTGTTTTCTATTTCTGCATGTCTGGCGTCCTTTTGATTATATTTGGGATGTGCACAATTTGAATAATGAAAACCTTTTTGCACCTATTATTAGTAACATCCCTAAATTGCCAACAACAAGCAGATCTTACAATGGTTTTTGAATTGTAACTTTTTTTTAAAAGAGGCAGAAGTATAATTTGAATTTTTAGAATTTTTGATCTCATCTAGTACCCCAGTGATTTGTGCACAGAGCAGCTGGCACTGTGACTTTGTATTCACAGCACACTGTGCTTTACTGATGGGACACTGTCTGCACAGTCTGTTGCTGTCATTTTCTTTTCATTTACAACGTAACTCACTCTTCACTTTTCACTAACTGCTTCAGTCAATATGCCACTAAACATTGTCCTATCTCCAGCACAATACAGTATATTCAATGATGCATTATACAAGGTGCTGCATAACACACCAGTCAGAACCAATGTACAGATCATTTTAAAACTGATCATTATTTAGAAAGGCGTACAAAATCATTGATGGCTTCGCTTAATATCTTTCGATGAATTTTACTGATTCTAAACAGTGGAGTAAATGTAATTATCCAAACTTTCCATTCATGATTCATGATGAATTAAAATAACAAATTGAAATAATCACTATTGAAATTCTGAAAATATTTGTAACCATTGAAATCGAAAAAATAGTGTCCCATTGTTGTGTCTTCCCATTGTTATTCTTGAGAAGTTTTATTGTTTAATCAGAATTCAAGTAGTAAGCTAAGGGCCACATGAACTTCACTTGACAGCTGTCATTATATCCTATTTGTCCATCCTTTCTGGCAGAATGTGGATTAAGGCACTTAAATAAGACTCTAAAGATAACAAAATATGGTAGCCTTAGATTATGCGAGCAAGCCAGGAAATGAACTGGCCAGATTTACCCACTGGAAAAGTGGTCTATGCTGAAATCTGCCATTTATTATCAGTGCATTTTTAAAGTTTTTCTTAAGAAGTCACAGGTTATGAAAATCACTGACTACACCAACATACATGGCCTATCCTCAATTGCCCTGGAGGAAATGGTGGTCAACTACATTCTTGACCTGGTGCAGTCAGTGGTGTAAGTACACCTACAATGCTATTCGGAAGGTAGTTCTAGGAGAGGGGATGATGTAGGATTCCAAGACAAGATACAGTGTGGTTTGAAGGGGAACCTTTAGATTGTGGTGTTCCCATGCATCTGTTGTGCTTGTCCTTCTAGATGGTAATGGTCTCAGGTTTGAAAATGCTGTAAGAAGGGGGCTTGGTGCATTCATACAGTGTGTCAAGTAGATGATGCACACTGCTGCTCCTCTCCATTTGTGGTGGAGGAAGTTAGTATTGAAGTTGGTGGGATGGGTGTGGGGTGTGGTGGGGGTGGTGGTGGTGGTAGGGGGTATTGGTGCTGGTGGTGGTGCCTGTCAAACACTATGCTTTGTCCTGGATGGTGTCAACCTTCTTGAGTGTTTTTGGAGCTGCACTTAGCCAGGCAAGTGGGGAGGACTCCATCATTCTCCTGACTTTTGCCTTGTAGATAATGGACAGATTTGAGGAATGGGGAGGTGAATTATGCACCAAGAGAATTCCCAGCCTTTATCCTGCTCTTGTAGCCACAGTTTTTATATGGCTGGTCCAGTTTAGTTTCTGGTCAATGGTAACTCCTTCAGGATTTTGTTTGGTTGGGGATTCAATCATGGTAGTGCAACTGAATGTCATGGGGAGGTGGTTGCTCTTACTGTTGTTGGAGATGGTCATTGCCTGGTGCTTGTGTTACTTGCTACTTAAACTAAGCATGCATAATGTCTAGGTCTTGCTGCATTTTGAACATGGACTGCTTCAATATCTGAGCAGCTCCAAATGGTGCTGAACATTGTGCAATCATCAGAGAACATTTCCACTTCTGACCCTATAATTGAAGGAAGATAATTGATGAAGCAGCTGAAGATGGCCAAGTCGAGATATTACCCTGAGGATGTCCTAGGACTGAAATGATTGGCCCTCAACTATCTGTATTAGGCAGAACATTTTCCCCCATATTCCCATTGTCTCCAGCGTTGATTGTGATCTTTGCTCCATATGGTTAAATGCTGCATTGATGCCCAGGGCACCATTGTCACCTTACTTCTGGAGTTCAGCTCTTTTGTCCATGTTCATACGAAGACTGTAAGGAGGTCAGTGGCTGATGGCCCTAGTGAAACCCGAACGGAGGGTCAGTGAACTGGTTGTTGCTGACTAAGCTATTTAACAGCACAGGCTGTTGACCGAGTTTAGACTAATCGGGTATTAAGTGGCTAGATAGCATTCGTCCTACTTTTTTCTAACCGGTCATAGCTGGGCAATCTTCCCTATTGTCAGCTAAGTGCCAGTGTTGTACTTGTATGTGTACAGCTTGGCTATGAATGTGGCTAGTTCAGGAGTTTAAGTCTTAAGTACTATTGTCAGAATGTTGTGCGAGCCTATAATCTTTGCAGTATCCAGTGCCTTCACTCGTTTCTTATTTGCTGAAGTTGAGCTTCTGTGATGCTGGGATCATTGAAAGAAGGCCAAAACAGATTATATACTTGACACTTCTGACTAAAGATGGTATGTATGTATGTATGTATGTAAGTATATATAAATGTTGAATGACAAATAAAAGGTACAGGAAATTAAACTAACAAGGCACATTTAATTTTTCTTTCCTTGAAGACATGTGCTTTCTTTGTAATATTATCTTTGGGACTGCTATGTACATTGGTGAATAGTATTTTTTAACCCTTTTTTTTGGTGTTTCCAACACTGATTTCTGAATAACGGGCATCTCAGAGTCAAATGTGTTGGGGTGGGGATAGACTTTGGGGCCTGACTCAGCACTCAACCCACAGTAAAAAAAGTCATGCTGTCTGCTGTGGTTCAGTGAATAATTGCCAAACACCTATCCTCAGGCAGAGAACACCAGGAGACAGAACAATCAAATGTAAAGGTAGCAAATGTAACATATTAAGCATGCTGACAATTCTGGGCAGATCAATAAGTACTTACTCACCAATCTTTACTTTACCTTACTTACCAATTTGTCAAGTCGTTAAGCAATTTCAATTAGCTGTTTGTACCTCATTAAACTGTATTTACATTGATGTTGAGATTCTAGATCTAACTGCTAACAAATAGGAGAAGCAGTTCTGGGTGCAATATGCTTTGTTTAATAAAATGCTGGCTACTTTCCCTTTTGGTCTTTTTGCATATAGTACGCATATTGTGATAAAAACAAACTGCCTGCTGCAAGTTATGGACAGTAAAATCAAAAGATAAGTAATTTATGTGATAACATGGGTAAAGCTTCATGTAATCTCCCTTGAAAAATGTCTTTATCACAATCTCAAAATTGTATCCTGTCCTTCATTGTTTTTGCTCTCGTGTCAACTCTGTGTGATCTTATCAGATAGACTGAAAGACTTATAGTTATCCACAGTGTTACTTACAAATTTTGTATAGATGACATCTTGATATCTCCCAGGCTGTAATTATAATAAAGACATTTAAGTTTAAATAATATAAAAAATTGATTGTTCTTGCTATGCATAGTCAATGGCACATCATCAATTTTCATATGTATCTAAGGAAAAGATTGGCAAGCCAACAAAATCTCACTGCTCTGCAGCTAGGGAATAATGTGGTACATTATATAAAAATTCAATTAATTACGAATCCACTTTGAAATTTGATACTTAAAGATTCTACTGTGTTCTCAGGCAGAGGGTTACAGTCGGCAGTATTTTCCAGCAGAGGATTTGTTTACAAATCTACACTATGCCCTCATATCCACAACTATGTACTGAAAGTTATTCCTTCAAAATGTATTGTAGAAAACAATGGGCAGAATTTAATGTTGGCAACGGGAGCCTTGTCTGCCAACTGGAGAAGCAGCAAGGGCTTTGTGTCACCTCCAATGGGGAAGGCTCAGCTAAATGGAGTGCCGTCAGGCATTTTATAGGCTAGTGTCAGGTTCTCCCCAGGGTGTAGGATGCTTGGGGTGAAAATCTTTCCAGTTGAGGACGACCAGACAGAAAGAGGCCAGTATTTCTCCATCAGTGCCACTGGAAGCAATGCCTGCAGAGGCCTCGGGTTGACAAGGGACCAAGGTCACAGGAGGGGTTGGGTGACACAGGTAGAGGGTTGCTGGCTTTGTGAGGGGTGAGAGTCAGAAGAAAAAGGGGCGGTTTGGCCAATTCTGAGTTTGATAACGTTGACTGAGAGCCAGAGAGCTGAGAACAGCATCACTAGTCTGCAAGTTAATTGAGTTTTCCTCGTTGAAGGCCACATGGTGTCCCAGAGTCAGGTCCTGTTATCTCAGTCAGCAGAGCCAGGACAGGACACCCTGCAGGAGCCTACATTTCCTCAAAAATTTCAACAATTCCTTATTAGTACCGAGAGAAGGTCTGGGCCTCAGTTGCCAGCACATACAACTGCAGATAGGAGTTATCAAAATTAATGCCTGCCCAAAATTGCGACTTCTTTGGAGTCATTTCCCTACCTGTATCCCCTCCCTCAATGACTTTCCTCAACATTGGTTTGCCTCCAGTGTCACCCTGAAGAGTGTAAAATTCCTCTTTCCTCATTTACAAGAAGTGGGACAGGTCCCACTTCTGTAGTCTTTTCCATCTCCGCACAATCAGTGCACTGGGGAGAGGGCTTCAGAAGTCCATGTGCCTGCTGAAAATGCTACCAGGTTTGACCTTTGACTTTTTGATAGGAGTGGTGACCTTCCTCGCCCACACACTCTCTCTTGCGTCACAAAATGGCTGCTGGTATAAACAGAGTTAGAACTTCTGCCTGGGCTGCTTGGCAGTCTTTTTGTACCATCCTGCTTCCATTTGGTCTCATTTTGCAACTATAAAGTGAGGCCCTCAGCTTCGTTCCCCCTCTGTCCTCAGCCACTTCAACGACATCAGCAGACCTCTCACACCACTGTTACCACTCACAGACTGACTCCTGCCTTTTACGCTGCTGTTTTCAAGCACTACATGCAGTTTTAGCGAGTTCAGCTAAATGACACATGATGTATTATAAAACTTCTCTAAGTTTTTTTTTACAAGAAAACATGAACTCTCAAAAATGGCAAATTACCTTTTCATTGAAAAATATTTTTAATCTAGGATAGTATGTTGCTTTCCTGGTGCCATGATTAAGGACATCTCAAAAGATTTGAAGCATATTGTTAAAGTGGAGAGTGAGAAACCTAATGTTATTGTACATATTGATAGGAATGACATAGTTAGGAAAAAGATTAAGGCTTTACAAAGTGAATATAAGACGTTAGGTAGAAGATTAAAAAATAACAGAATCTCAAATTAGTAATCTCTGGTTTACTCCCGGTCCCAAGCTTGAATGAGGGAAGGAATAAGAAGATAAAGGAGATAAAGCAATGGCTGAAAAGGTTGCGTAATGTTCAGGGATACAGGTTATTGGATCATTGGGAACTCTTCTGGGGCAGAAAAGACCTGTTCAAAAAGGATGGGTTTCACCTGAACTGGCAAGGGACCAATGATCTAGTGGGGAGATTTGCTAGTTATATTAAGGGAAACTGTAAACTATTTGTTTTTTGGGGGGGGTCGAGATTCTAAGTAGCAGATTAAAAGAAAGATAGAGGAGGAGGATTCAGAATCTGAAAAGAACAAATTAATTAGAAAAGACAGACAAGAGCAAGTCAGAGATTCAAGTAATTCTGAAGAATTAAACTGCCTTTATTTCAATGCAAGTGATCTTACAGGTGAGGCTGATGAACTCAGGGCATGTTTGCGAACATGGGATTGGGATGTCATAGCTATTACAGAAATTTGGCTAAAGGATCGACAGGACTGGCAGCTCATTGTTCCAGGTTTCAGATGCCTTAGGAAGAATAGAAAGGGAGGCAAAAGAGGAGGGGGAGTGGTATTTTTGATTAAGGAAAACATTACTGCTGTTACTAGAGAAGATATTTCTGAAAAATCGTGTAGTGAAAAAATGGTTGAAATTCAAAATAAGAAAGGAGTGATCACCTTGATGGGATTGTACTATAAACCCCCCAGTAGTCAGACAGAAATTGAGGAACAAATATGCAGAGAGATCTCAGATATGTGTAGAAACAATAAAGTGGATAGAAGTAATGAGACAGAATTGGATTTTTTTTTTCCTCTCTGAAGGACAAAAATATGAAATAACTACAGAAAAGTAAAAAGTTGAAGGAAAATAGAGCAGCAACCCTGCTGCTGCTGCTCGCGAAACAATGCTACAAGCTGTAGTGCAGCCTAGATCTTAATGAGGAGCAGAGAAGCCAAACAGGATTGATTTTGCATTCCTTAACAACATAATTTGAACCTCATCAGTGTTACTTCTGAACAGCATTTGTTTACCGTCAGATCTCAAGTGGAGAAGGAAACTATGGATATGGGATGGCATTGATAGGTCTTGGAGTCAAACAGCACAGAAGCAGACTCTTGGGTCCAACCAGCCCATGCTGAATATAATCCCAAACTAAACTAGTCCCACTTGCCTGTTCCTGGCCAATATCCCTCCGAACCTTTCCTATTCATATAATTATCCAAATGTCTTTTAAACGTTGTAATTGTACCCGCATCCACCACTTCATCAGGAAGTTCATTCCATAGGCGAACCACCCTCATTGTAAAAAATTTTGCCTCTTATGTCTTTTCTAATCTTGTGAGTTTGAGCAAACAAAAGAGGATTTCATCATGATCCCGACCTGAAACGTCAACTTTCCTGCTTCTGTGCTGCAGCCTGGCCTGTTGTGTTCCTCCAGCTCCACACTGTTATCTCAGAGATAGGGCGTTTTCAATTTATTTCTTCGAAGAACGTGTTCTGGAGTCAACCAGAAAGCAGTCTATACCAGATCGGATGTTGTGCAATGAGATAGGTTTAATTAATAAGCAGAGTGAATGCACTCCTAAGTAGCAGTGACCATAATGTGACTTAGTTTGCATTCCGTTTGAGGGACAAAGGACTTCAAGCTTAAATAGCGACAATTATGAAGGCACAAAAGCAGAACTGGCTAAATTGAGTTAGCAAATTAGGTTGAAGGATAAGTCAATACAGAACCAGTGGCAGACATTCAAGGGGATGTTTCAGAATGCAAAGAATAAACACATTCCAATGATTAAGAATAATTATAAGGGATGGTCCCACTATCTATGGTTAACTGGAAGGGCTACAGATAGCACACTCGATTTGAAGAAACAGCATATATTTGCAAATACAGTCACAGGTCAGTGGTTTGCACATAATACAAAAAATAGGAAAGATGACTAAAAATATAAACAAGGAAGGAAAAATTAGAGTATACAAGCAATCTAGCCAGAAATATAAAATAAGATTATAACAGCTTTTATAAATATTTTTAAAAGCAGATACTTAACAAAGTGTGCAATGGTTGTATAGATATTGAGACTGGAGAATTGATAATTGGAATAGAAGAGATGGAGGATGAATTAAATGGGTGTTTTGCAATAGTTTTCACTATAGAGGATACAAAGAACATCCCAAAAGCAGCAATTAAATATGAAAATGGAAGAGAGGGATGAATTTAGGAAAAATCGCCAGAGAAGTGATACTAAGTAAATTGTTGAGGGCTGACAAGCAAATGAGTCCTGATAGGTTTTATCCTCACATCTTAAAAGACATGGCAAGTGAGATAGTTGCTGTATTTGTTTCAATTTTCCAAAGTGCCTCATGGATGACCTGTCTTGAGTTGCTAGATCTGTTTGAAGTCTGTTCCATTTAGCGCAGTGATAGTGCCACACAACACGACCGAGGTTATGCTCAATGTGAAGACAGGACTTCATCTTCACAAGGACTGTGCAGTGGTCACTCTTACCAATACTGTCATGGACAGATGCATCTGCAGCTTGCAGATTGGTAAGGGGGAGGCCAAGTATGTTTTTCCCTCTTGTGGGTTCCCCCTCCAAGAGGGAAAAACATACTTGACCTCATCCTTACCAATCCGCCACCTGTAGATGCATCTGTCCATGACGGTATCAGTAAGAGTGACCACTGCACAGTCCTTGTGAAGATGAAGCCCCACCTTCACATTGAGCATAACCTCGGTCGTGTTGTGTGGCACTAATCACTGCGCTAAATGGAACAGACTTCAAACAGATCTAGCAACTCAAGACAGGTCATCCATGAGTCCCTGTGGGCTATCAACAACAGCAGAATTGTACTTCAGCACAATCTGTAACCTCATGGCCCGACATATCCCCCACTCAACCATTACCATCAAGCCAGGGGATCAACTCTGGTCCAATGGAGAGTGCAGGAGGGCATGCCAGGAGTTGCAGCAGGCATACCTGAGGATGAGGTGTCAACCTGGTGAAGCCAAACAGGACTACTTGCACACTAAACAGCGAAAGCAGCAAGTGATAAATAGAGATAAGCGATCCCACAAGCAACGGATCAGATCTAGGTTCTACAGTCCTGCCACATCCAGCTGTGAATGGTGGTGGACAATTAAACAACTCACTGG